TTTAGACTTAATTTATGCTTTGCTTCATTGTTTTGTTAAGGAGAGTGCGTTTAAGTATTCCTAATTATTATGATAACCTGTTTGGTTTTCAGTTTTCTTTACGATAGTTTTGCGGTCTGACTTTGAGAAAATAGTTTTAAACTCAATGATTACGCTTGCGATAAGCAAGCGTTATCAAACTGGAATATGGCCTTTTTTTCTAGTTAACAACTAACTTGAAATAAATTGAATCACTTGCTGACTCGACAGCTGACTTTTTTCACTTCTCTTCTCTTAACATCTTACTGGTTGCTTCCCCCCTTGGCCTGGAGGTAAATCAGTTGTCTTTGTACCTTAAGGTCTGGGGTTGGAGTCGTGGCCGGACCTTGTTTTTTTCCGTATCAAAAACTCCGAGAAAAATGAATTGAGAAACATGTTCACTGGAGTGTGGTCAGCTAAATTGCCACTACGGATTTTGCTTGTGGTGTAGAAAATTTTCATGGTAGTTGCAAGTTTAAGTGTTGTTAATTCTATTTGCAGGGGGACTTGAAAGATTTTTAAAAAAAATTAAACAAAAATTCATTTTTTTTTCGATTCAGTTGATACCTGCTTAAAGATTGTCGGCTAGTTGCCACATCACTGATTTTTTTTGCAGAATGTATCTCCTGTGTGCTTTAGTTGAAAATTTAAATGTTTTTTTTTTTCAATTTCTCTGGATTGTTTTTTTGTCCACGTTGACGAAAAATGACAAATGTTTATACTTATGTTTTACATTTTTTCTGTGATTCAATTTTTGAATTTTACCAAAATTGGCATATCACAAACTGACATGAATGAAAACAATTTTTCTCGTGTCTGTATTCGTTTCTCAGACCAATTTTGACTTCTATGAAACAGTGCTTGAAATTTTCAAGCCATCAGAAAGAGCCTTGAACTCATGCATCAATTTTTATGTATATTTTATGTACGCGCGCAATGAATTAGCGCGCAATAGAAAAGAGCCCATTTAATACCAAAAAATAGCAACTCCCAAAACATCGTAACGTAACATGAAATAGGTTGCATGTGAGAGAAACTTTTATAAATGAACTCAAAACATCAGTGTTTTTAACTTTTACATAGGTTATTTCAGAATTAAATTTGATTTTTTTTACAGAGAAAAAGTAAATGAAACATCAAGAAGCATACAGAGTAATTAAGGTTGTGCCCTGTTTGAGCGTTGTTAAAATGTTTTTCATTTCTTACAATTTAGCCTGATTTGAAACAGTTAGTCGCATTCTTGTAATAGCCTAAATAATGCCCATGTCAATTTCTGTAACAGTAAGTAGTACACATGCCAATGACATTGTGAACTAAAAAGTTACTTCAAAAAATCTTACAGGCGGGGGAACATGGGTGGTGGATGAAAAAGAGTTATGATTTATTTCATATTAAACAGAAAGCGGAGCAAATAATAATTTTTTTCTAAACGCATTAACTGTGCAGTTTTACCTCAGCGCAAATTTGACTATTTATCCGTTTTTATTAACTGTTTTGGTCCGAGTTGACTAATTATGACAAGATTTTATGCTCGTGTCCGTTTTTTCATGGAAGAGTGCATGATTTTATCACACCACTAGAAAGTTTTTGATCCTTTGAGCTCATGAATAAAAAGTTGTTTGACTTGCAGTTTCTTTCAGATTGCGATAGTTTGGAAGTTGCGAACTTCGAATAATAAATGCGCGCTATAAATTTGAATTACGCTTTTTCATATGTGTAAATCCGCGCTCAAAGTCAATGTCGTACAAATTTGAGCAAGCTTTTTGGCTCAAAGAAAGCATTAAAGGACTCATAATGCTTAAATTTATACTTTTGTTGACTTTGTTGAAAATTGTTTTTGTGTTTTATAAAAAAAACTACTTAAAATCATTCAAACGCGTTCAGAGAAAAAGGGTTTGGTCCCGGTTTGAGCAAACTTTAAACAGTATTTTTACCAATTAGTCTCTTTTAATGCACATAGGTGTTACTGGGTCATTTAAAATAAATCAAGGTGTTTTATATAAAATTTTTTCATGTTTTAATGAACCACTTATTGATTTTTCCTCTACCTAGATTGTTTGATATTTGCTTGTTTTTGAGACAACATTGTGTGGAAGGTTTTTCACGGAATTCTTGAACTTTTTTGCCAGCTGACTTTCCAATTTTAGTTACCGACAAAAAAAAGTGTATGCTTATTGATCTTGGAAACTCGATCAAAGTGGACGATCTTTTTGAGCTACAGGCAAAAAAACTAAATTTAGTCATATTAATGCTGTTTTGTCATCAAACAGAAAAATTTATGTCTAACGCAAACACCAGATCAACGATTTTAGTTTCATCAAGGTTCTGGTTTGGATTTCATTTTAAACTCAATCCCTCACGTCCAATGTCCAAAAAAAACTTCTTTTCAACAAATTTCAAATACTAATTTCACAACGAAGGTTGCTTTCATTTTGAAGCTAGTAAGCCAAACTGTCAATAAGTTTACCCAAAATGCCGTTTGGCGTTTTGAGCTCCAAAAATTGTTTTATTGGTTATACCATTTTTGCTCAAAATTATGACTTTTGTCGCCATGTGCTTTTTGAATTGAAAAAAAATCAAAAATCTAGATTTTGGTAATCAAGTATATAGATTGTAACGGCCAGAACATTGAGAAACATTAATTGTATAGTCAAACTTATTAACAAAACTTGTGAATCGGCAATAATTTGTAATGTGTTGATTTCTCTGATGTTGTTGTGCATTTAACAGTTTAATAAAACATTTAACAGTTTAATATGAGCAAAATTCGTATTCATACAAGCAAGTGATACAATATTTGGCTTCTTAGCAATTATAAATATGTACAAATGTAATAAATGCTGTTTCTGAGAGTTCATTGTCCGAAACAATATCACTTTAATTTTAGATGGCAAGGTTGATTTTCACCATTAAAAACTTTCAGCCATTCGAATTAGATTTTAGGAAAATAGACGAAAAGCAATTAGACAAAATCAGAATAGACGTCGATGTGATACGAAATAGGAACCTAAAGGTGATTGAGTTGTTATGGTGTCTATTATTTGTTAAATGACTACAATGATTTATCAAATAAAAACAAACTTTCACAGGTCACCACACACAGGTTGACAAAAAAACGTTAGTCATACAACTTGCCACTAGTAAAACTAGCAATTCACTCGGCCAGAACCTTGCCGGGTATTTCTAAGACTAAACTTTTCTTGCAGTGCGAAATTGTGTGACTAGTATATCTTCGTTGTATGAAATTGTACAACTAGCATTTTCTCTCTCTAAAAAATTAACAAACTTTTGAGTTTTGCTTTCAATTTTTGTCTTCAGTTCTGAACACAACAACCAAACATTTTTTCATATGAGAAAATCAACAGATGAGTGGAAAGAATGTCACAAAAAAACTACGTTTGGAGATTTGCCATGTAAATTAATATTCCATTTTCATACAGAGTTATTTCGAAAACTTGTAACTGTTTGTGTAAAACTGAAAAATGCATCTTTTTTTGAAAATTTGAGTGTTTTTAGATCGTGACCTATCTTTTTGACAGATCTGAAAATTATCTTACCTCATAAAACAAAAACAGAAATTTGTATTCGCACAAATACTTAGAGATCTGACGTTTGTCATTTGTGTGTCAAAAGACTGTGTCTGTGCTACCATATAGACAAAAAATTCTAATTCAGCATGACAGAAATTTGCTTTTTTGTGCATAGAAAAGTTTTTTGCACATAAAAATTAACAATTTTGGATTTTTTTCGAAAAAGGCTAGTCACACAATTTTAAAGTTTTAAATTGTACAAGTCATAATTTTTTCTATTTTTTTTTGCTTTAAAACTATTTGAGTACCTTTATGCTCAGGGTATCAGTTTTGAACTTTCTCAGTTCTTCTTGTTATTAACTTTTTGTTCATGTAGAAGAAAAAAAAAACATTTTATTGAAAAAAACTAGTCATACATTTTTCATAGATTGAACATAACTGACTAGCAATTTTGAAAATTCGCTTTTTCTTCTACATCATAAAAAGTTAATAACAAGAAGAACTGAGAATGTTCAACACTGATGCCCTGAATCAAATAGCTTATGTAAAGTCAAAAAAATATAAAAAATATTATGACTCATTTTTTGTTAAAAATGCTTGTTACAAAATTTAATACTATAAAAATTGTGTGACAAAAAAACCATGATTGGGGCAAATTTTTATTTCTTTTTTCTTTGCAAAAACTTTTTTTTTACCAAAAAAAAACAATTTCGAAAAAATTTTCTTGCATGCTAAACTGAAGTTTTTGTCTATATGGTAGTACAGGCACAGTCTTTTTACACCAAAGTAACAAAGTCAGAACTCTAAGTTTTTCTGTGAGAACAAAATTCTGATTCCGTTTTATGTAGGAAGATAATTTTAAAGGTCTGTCAAAAAGTAGATCACGATCTACAAACAATCGAATTTTCAAAAAAAAGAAGCTTTTTTTAGTTTTTTTTGTTACAAGTTTTTGAAATAAATTTGTATGAAATTCGAATATTAATTTACATGGCGAATCTCCAAATGTAGTTTTTTTGTGGCATTCTTGCCACTCATCTGTTGATTTTCTCACATGAAAAAATGTTTGGTTGCTGTGTTCAAAACTGAACACAAAAGTTGAAAGCGAAATTCAAAAAGTTTGTTAATTTTCATATAATGAGAAAAAAAATCTATGACTAGTTTTTCCCTTGTGTGGAGTTCAACCCGGGCAAATAAAATTTCGCATTTCAAAAACATTTCCTAATATTCCGATTTGTATTTCTGATATCTGAAAAGGTATTTAGTTTTTTTTGCTGAAATTTTGTTTCAAACAAAAAGTTTTGTAGCTCCTTTTTAGCCCTTTTTTTCTTAAAATTCGTTTTGCAGAAAAAAAATAGAGTTTAATTTTTTTTTTAGTTTATTCGTCTATTATGCTTTTTGTTTAATTTTTTGTCCACATTCGAATTTATTTGACGATAAAAAGGAAGCGTTGGATTTACAAAAAAAAAACACTTTTGATTCATTTACATTTTGATTTATTTGGATTTGTAAAGATTAGCAAGCTGAAAGAAAAAAATATAAAAAAGAAAACTTGTGGGTTAGTTGAATCATAAAAAAAACAGGAAGGGTAAAAAAGGGACATCTACTTCTTTTTCATTTTTTTGTTTGGTACATGTATCCCATCTTTGTGCTGAGAATATCATCGCATGTATACAATTTCCAGTCTTTTGTCATAATTATGAGACCTGCTTTGAATGTTGTTATGCTTCGAATTCCTGGAGCAAAGTTGAATTGAAGGACAATTTCAGTGTCCACGTGACTTAGAGATTGACCCGGTAGAGCGTTCTGCTTTTCTTCAGTTGCGATTTTCAGTACCTCTAGTATCTGACATTCTAGACACCAGTTTATGAGACGAATGCAACGTTCTCTATAGCAGAATGGAAGAAATCCACATCCGAATTTGCCTTTGTGCTCATTACTTTTCATTTTCTTGCAATTAATTGGGCGCTTTCCGAAATCAAATTCCTCGATTCTTTGAATTGAGTACAAGTATAGCGAATCTTTTGAGATACATGCTATAACTACCGAAATCATAGTTTCAAAGCAGTCCTGTTGCAACGCGAAAGAGTACGGTTTTTCAGGATAAAGTTTTGAGTCACACAATTGAAAATCATGGGGATTATTCGAAAGGGTTTCGTAATTTGTGATCCAATTCCCATTTGAGTAACGACAAAAGATGATAAACGGTAGCGGATTATAAAGATAATAGTGAGCTACTACTTCCTCGGAGCTACAAGTAGCTAATGCGTTTTTTTGGGAGAATTTTTCTGCGACAAATGATTTTTTGCTGGTGAAATGAACAATATTGTGTTCTCCTGGGATAAATTTAAAAAACTGTGACGAAGCGCCTGTTTTAGATTTTGCCATTTCTGCGGCTGCAATGTTCTCATAACTATACAGCTTAAACTCTCCGTCTTTCAACACAGCTAGGCAGAACTCATATTGAGTTGACGTGACTTGAGAATTTTCCAGACTCCCTCTATGCCACGGGAATTCTTTGAATCCGCTAGAAGAGCTATTCAGACTTATCTCAAATTTGCTTATCTGCTTGAACATAAAACTCTTCAAAAATTGACGCAGAAGTTCTAAGACATCTTTTCTTAGGTTATCACGCGCTTGCTGAATTTCATGATGGTAGGTTGAAATGTCTCTCTGTTTAATAAAAGCTAACGTTAATCTTAAGCCTTCGGAGAGCTTCTCTTCAAGTTTTTCGACTTTTCCATCCGAAAGAAGGTTTCCAAACTGTAAAGACGATGCGCTCAGAGAGTCTCTAACTATACTTTGTGAATCACCAAGGTCTTTGAGAACACGCTCGAAATGTTTTGTTTGCTCACACAGCTCAGTTTTTTGATTTTCAAACAAATATTTTACCTCGTTTGTTTCTTTTTCAGCCAAATCTAAGGCTTCCAAAATTATGTCTTTGGTGATTTCAACTATATTGTCGTTGTATGGGTCAATCATGGAATTGAAGCTCTCTTCAACTTCTTTGGAAGAACCCAGGAAACGAGCGGATTGTTTGTACGAAATATCAAGGTTTTCCAAAATTTCATGCAGCTTGCGTTTTGTCGAAACCAGTCTTTCCTGGTTTTCAATTAGGTCAACAATATCGTGTGTTCTGTGATCTATGAAAGCACAGGTGTTGCAGAACATCATTTGATCGCAAGTATAACACAGGAAGTATTTCACTCTTTTGTGTTTTTCGCAAACATCGACTGGCAATCTGTTTTGGTCTGTCACGTTGTCTTGATCTCGAATATGTTTGGCAATACAATCCAGGCAGTAGTAGTTCCCGGAAACCGGACTGCTATAGAAATTAGCATTTTCAGTTTGCAAAAAAATTGCTGCAAGATTCTATTCTGATAAACCCTACTTCAAAAATTGTGAAGATTACACACATTACGAGGCCAAATTGTACTCTGGATAGGCGCACAATTTTGTGTCTGCATGTTCCTGGATTCCAGAGACAAGTCTTTAAACATGTTAAAACTTTGTCGGAACGATCAAAGTAAATGAAAGAACAAAAGAGGAACAATGGGAGCGTCCTTGTTGCGGAATCCGCTTACAATACACAAAATGCACAGTTTGGCCTCATAATGCATCTGAATTTTAATTTTTTTTTTAGTTTTCTTAAGTGGCGACGACTGAAATACACTGAGTGTTTTTCTTACATAAAGGTCATGATAAATGATAATGAGGGACATGATTAAGCACGTTTTTATTTATTTCAGAAAAAAACAAATTGTGTCAAAAAAAATTTTGGCTCAATTTTCAGATAGTGCCAGCTCCGATTATGAAGACTGAAACAACGTTTCATCTCTTTAAAAGTTTTGCATCCCAATTGCCCGTATGAAAATGCTAATATGTAAATACCTTGACTTTACATGACTTGAAGTTTCTCGTTTTGAACCACAAGTGTTGCAAACGAATTTGGTGCCGTATCCAGATAAGTCGAGCGAACAGTTAGAACAAATAATTTTCGGAGCAAAAAAATCATCTGTAAAGTTTTCGTCGTCAGATTCACTGTTTTCCATTTCGCCGGAAGTTGCCATTGCTAAAAAAATCAAAAAAATTAGCAAAAAAATTCAAGAAGACAAATACAGACGAGTTCTAGTCCTGATTGTAAAAGCCGTCGGCTTAATAACTAATCAGCCCAGTTAAGATAAGTTATTATTTCTGCTTCGTTTTCAGTTTGACCTAAGAAAATATCAAAAATTCTTCTTTTAAAAATCCCGAAATTCTATTTTTCTGGTTGCTATTCTAATTGAAGCTGATATTGTTGATTCACGTGTTCGATTAGATTTATACATGAATTCAGATTTGTATAGCATGTAATGAAGGATTTTTTGAAATTTTTTTAGTTTGAAAAAAATTTACTTACTCATTTTCAAAGATATCCCAATTAGTTTATTAATTTACGAAGTTTTGACGTTTTTTAGGTCCAAAAAAACTATGCCAAGGCCCCTTCAGGAATTTGACTACCTGGCGACCCAAAAAAAAATCACTTTTGCTTCATCAAAAAATACACCGGGCAAGTAATTTCCCGGTATCAGTGATTTAATCCTGAGCGACATGAAAAATATATTTTTAAAGATTCAACTAATAATTTAATCAAATTTTGCGGAACGACAAGCTGACCCACATCAAACTGAAACTCTATCGAGTCAGAAAAAATCGAAAACGTATTTTTCTGGCTGAGCTACAAAAGATACAGTTATAATTAAAGCAAAGTTTTTATTCAAAATTTTCTAGCCTGTAGTTGTAAAATTGAGACAGTAAATTGTTTGAGAATTTAGTGTCTGAGAGCTTTTTTAAAAAAAAAGATATAGATCTAATTTACTTCAAATTTATCAATTTTTCAAGATTTCTCTAAAATTTGCGTTCTTAGGATTTTCATTATTGAATCAAACATGTTACGTGTCATCATTGATGGAAAATCAATTTTCTAAAAAATGTTTTAGAAAAAACTAATTAACACCTATGCACAGTTTCCGAACTTCATTGCTTTCAATTAGTACAAGCAGACGCAGCTTTAATAAAGTTTTATTTGGTCTATTATTCGGAAAAAAATACGGATTGATTGCGTGTTCTAATTTTTTCCAATATTTCACCAATTCGAGACCGATATGTCAAACATCCAATAATAACATCCGATATGACAAACATACGAAAAACCAAAAATTGTTGCAAACATCCCAAAAACAGCTTTACTAGGGTAAACATCCGACCTTTTCAAAAAGTAGGGCAAAGATCCTATTTCTGCCGTTGTTTTTGAAATTTTAAAGTCATATTATTTCATAATTATTATGTAAGTTCGAATGTTTAATATAGCGGATGTTTGACATATCGGAAGTTTATCCCATTAACTCGTTCAATTGTTCTTCAAATATGAAGAGATGCCTAAAGGAATACAGCGACAAAAATTAGATGCGAAACAGCGGCAAGCATTACTTCTGATTGAAGCGCGGCTTGATATTAACCAATAAAAACCCGCTCTTGCAAATAGTCAAAAAGTTTTAGAGCCAAAAATGAAGGGTCATTAGAAAACTTACCTTTGGGTGCTGCAAGCAACGTCCGGCAAAGTAGTAAGCTCTGTATGAAGAAGCCAAGTCAAAACTTGAGAGTTAATCAGAAAAAAATTATTTATAACTTATTAGCTTATAACAAACACAATCAAATTGAAACTGTTTTCAAAATTAAAGTGCAAAAACTTGGAGGTGTTTTGTATAAAGAGTATAAGCTTCAAAAGTCTTACTGCTAGCTAGCATAATAGTTCTCAAGTTGAGATTTTGATCAACAGAAAATGAATTATTCAATAATTATAACAAACTAAAACGCTACAATCAAACACAATGCGTTAAATGCAAAAAATGCAAATTAACATGGCCCATAAAATCTCATAATTCGGTTGGATGGTCATAAATTGTTCCAAAACTGCATTTCAAAGATAAGTTTTCACGCTTTTTCGATAATCTGTTATTGTGTTTGGTGATTTCATATATTTCTGCAACACTCGTTTGACGATATCTCTTGTCTCTTAAAATCAAAGTTTACCACACCAAGTGTTAGTTTTTCATTTCAGTGACCAAACCAAAAAGCAACAAACGTTAAAATTTTGAAAATTGACATGACTAAATATACTCACCCTATGATTGCTACCCGTAAAAAGTTTTGAAACTGTTAAGTGAATTTAGAAAAGTCGGAAATGTTCGCAAAATAGGGCCGTGAATTGGATTTTACAATTATTTCCTGGTGACCACTTTTCATAAAATTATGGGGGCTTAAAGATTGCCAATTTGGCCAATTTGGGACATTTAACGCACTATATATTTCGCGCTAATAACGCGTAAGCGGAATTTAATCCGTCTTAGAAATCGTTTCAAATTGGTTGAAGGAAGCTTATTTGCCATAATTGATTTGTTACTGGGAGCAAAATTTATCAATTTGTACTTTATATGGCGTGTGGGGGATGGTTTTCACAAAAAATCTTAAATTAATTAAATTTTTAAAAAAATCATTTTTTATATCTTTTCATTTAATTTTTTGAAGTTGTTAATGCTCCATAGACCTTAAAATGCAGTGTCGGAACATTCAAGGCTTCGCCCTGATACGAGCAGTTTTGTTTTGGTTTAGTAATCTTTTTCTGTGCGTGGTATATGGAAGGAATCTAAATGAATGCCTAGAATTGCGGCATATTCGATTTTCATTGAAAAATAGCCATATTGGACAACAATCTCCTATAAACAAAGAGCATAAAAATCAAAAAAAAGTGACTTTACTGCAGCTTGGTTTTTGTTTTTTACCACCAAAAAAGGGGGAAAAACTAAATTCGGGCCGGTCATCGTTTGTTATTTAAGAGTCGAAGAACTTGATTCATACTCTGACATATGTGGTGATGATTTTTTTTTCAGAAAAATTCCTAAACTTTATTCAGACTCAAATTCGAAACTTTGCAGTTTGACTTTTGATTTTTTTACGTTCAGCTTATTTTTCTGTTAAAATGATGCCAAATGTTACCATCTAGCAGCAAAAGTGTGAGGGTCTCGTGAAACTTGATGGGATTCTGAAATTTCCAAAAGCGTTTGAGAAGTTTCTTTAAAGGACATCTGATTTTTTCTTTGATGAAAAAAATTCTTTCAAAAAACAAGTCAATTTCTTTTCTTTGTGTTTTCTTAAATTATATGATTTTTTTCAACATCATCCGACGAATAGTACAAGTGATATATCATATCAAAAAATATATATGTTTTTTTTGCAGTTTCTTACGTTGTTTCCTAAGTTGTAGAAACTATACTATTACCTAAGGAAAAACATTTTTCAAACCTTAACTAAGCGCTTCCCTGGCTTAAAATCCCCCACCCCCCCCCCCAAAAAAAATCTGAAAATTAGTTTGAGAGTTTTTCTTTGAAAATCAAAAACAAGTCTTTTTTCAAAAAAACAGGTCAATTTCTTTTCTATGTCTTTCTTTAAATTTGCTGAGTTTTTTACAACATCATCCGAAAAGTACAAGTGATATATCATTTCCAAATCATTTCGATTTTTTTGTTGTTTATTACGTTTTTTCCTAAGTTGTAGAAAATATACTATTATCTAAGGATAACTAGTTTTCAAAGTTTAATTAAGCGCTTCCCTATTATCCCCTAAAAATAAGTGTGATGATCTGAGAAAACATTGATGTGAGAACTCCTACTATGAAACTTGAAGAAAAGAAATCGAATAAATTTTCTGACCTTTTGAAGCGTTTCAAATGGGTTCAGGAGCGATTCTTTATTTAATAGTATCTCTCTATTAACAGTTGAGTTGAACGAACTGTCACAATGTGTCAACCATCGTAGTTTTTTATGATAATAATCAATCCTATCCATGAATGCGATGCGATATGTCGAACGCATTTTGCTTGAAACTATCAAAATTAGAAACACGTGAACAGAAAAAAAAACCTCTAATGGCCTAACATGTTTTTATGAATTTTTTCCCCTGATAACAACTATCAATACCAATCAAACTATGAGTAAGTTGACGCTTGCATCGATCTCAATAAAAATTTCATAAGGACTCTCTAGCCTAGCGCTGATCCACAACAGTGGTGACAGGACTGGAAACTTGAAATGAATAACCCTAATAATTCTGTACATCTTGCGAAATCTGGAAAGACATGGGCCTGGCTGATTGCTTTCCTCGGAAGAGCAGGCTCAGAGATGAAAATCAACACGGCTGCAGACGGAACGAATCCCGACGACCCGACGATCTCTTTCTCAGTCAATGTGGTTTTTGAGCGATCTTGAAGTTCATGAGTCTTGTTTCAACAAACATTTGTGAGCTGACGTTCAGTGAGATCCACAAGGTGGTACGAGACTATATCAGACAAAAAGAACATGTAATTGATGCTGAATGAGCCAAATTTTTACCGCCAATTCAGAAGCTAGGAGATTCAGATGAGGACTTTCTTAGAAGACCTCGTGAAGTTGCTCGGTTTTGTGTGTTTTCAACACGGTTGATGCGGAAGGCTAGTTGATACGAATAAGGATAATCTCGGTATAAATATCAGCAAATTCCCAACTCAAGTTGTTTGAAGAAGGTCGAGTTAAACCAGACATAACAGACGTAAGTCTAACTATAACTAATATGCAAAATTTTTACTGTTTAGCAATCAAGCACAGCATTTTGCTGGGGCCTCCAGGTTAAAGTTACAGGATCAAACTGTAAAAAATGCTAATTCAACCGTCAGAAACCCAAGAACTAATAATAAAACTTGCATGTGAAAAAAATGGAATGTCCAAAAGAAAGCTGGAAAGTCATACAGGGATAAAACTTGTTCTTCAATGGGTACGAAATATGTTTCAAGTAGTAAGATAGGACACTTCGTAAGAAAACATCAAATTAAGTAAAACAAAAACAACACAGACTATAGTAGATTTATAAGGAGAGTAAGCCATCACGCTGATGGGGGTCAGTTCTCAGAGAAGAATTAGAAAGCTTTGAGAACGGCACTAGTAAAGGAAAGTTTTTTTCATACAGTCTTATTGGCATGGTCGCCGCACGGGAAAGATTCGTCATTGATGGCGCCATTACAAATGGATACAGGTGTTGATACAATAGTGATCTCCCCGAGCATCTGGAAGAAGCTTGGAGGACCTACTTTAGATGGAACGCTTTGAGCTCTAGAAGCATAAAATGGACACAAAATTCGGCTTCAACAAAAAAGAGCAATACGTGACCTGACATGGAATGGTCGAATCTTCTCAAAGCTACCTCTGGCGGTTGTGAGATCAAACAAGGGTTTCGGACTATTTGGACGCGATGCTTAACAACCCAGCACTCGAATCATGGGCTTTCAGGGTTTTGCCGGAAGTCAAAAGATACAAGGCCCAAGTGAAACCTGAAGTCTGGAGCCCAACATTTTTTCTCCGAAGCATGCAAAAATCCGCTGGTTATGCAAGAAGCATTACAAGCGAAGCTTCAAGACATAATTTTGTAGGGAGTTTTTGAGTCAGTGCATCTCAGATGAGTTATTAATGCATCACCAGTTGTGTGGCAAAAAAATGATGATTCAAAGTTCATCTCAATGGCACAGTAATGGACGAAGACTACCCATTACTTGACATGGAAACAATTTTCAACAGCTCGCATGAAGCCAATCTCTTGAGCAAAAACGTACCTTTCAATCGCTTGCCACCAAATCGACCTTGATGAAGATGTGTTGATTAACCTAAGGGTTGAAGAGCTCTTTCTCAATCTTTCGACATAGCATCGAGAACACACTCGAAGGAATCAAAGTCGTGATTATCTTTCAGGACTACCTGCTTGTCTACGGAACACCACCCGAGCAATACGAAAAGCGTGTGACGGTCGTCAATGGACGACTCAGAGAAAAGTACTTCGCCATCAGTGAGATTAAGTCAAACTGGAAACCACCCACAAATGATTAGCTTTTAGGCTATTCAGCTTCAGCTGATGGAATCAAGCCTGATAATAGGCTTGCTAAGAAGATGCGCATCACCAAGATACACGCGAATTCAAAAAACTTCGGACAGACCAATACAACAAGTGCTTTTAGATCATCAAACAAGAACTCTGTCCAAAACCAGTCGCCCAACCCTTGTTTTTTGACAAAGAGGTGACTGTGACCACCGATGCTTCAGAGCAGACAGTTGGCGGTGTTCTCTCACAAGAAGGACATCCAGTGATCTACGTTTCAAAAAGGTTATCATCAACTGAGCGTAACTACTCCATCATAGGTTGAGAGACTTTGGCAATCGTGTTTGTGGTCACATGACTGAAACAGTTCCTAATGAAGAGCAAGTTCACACTACAAACAGTTCGCAAACCCTTGCAGAACTTCTTTGCGCTAGAATAACCATATGGGCTATTGCGCGGAGGAACTATGAGATGAAGTATCTGCCAGACAAGCAGATCCCACTTGCGGACGCTCTGAGCAGACTACTTTCCGACGACGAGACATCAAAAGCGGAGCGAATATGTTTCTTTCAGACTGAGATCTTCTTCGCAGACGGATGTTTCGCAGACGAAACTGCAATCAAACTGAACATTTCAGGACGTCTTCAAATGAACACAGAGCGGTGATCGGAGACAATGCTTAGTAGTTGAGTCACACATCAAGATTGAATCATTGTCAACAACAAAAAGCGTCATCTTCAGGGGCAATGTCTTTTTCACACTTCCGAGGTTCAGATGAAAAGTTATGGACGATGCCCACAAGACGCATCTAGGAAAAAAAGCAACCAAAACTGCGCTGCGAA